GAGATGGCCTCTATTCAGCAGTCGACACATTTCGAAGCAGGGGTGCTATAGAAGTGCCGATTGTCGTAGGAGGAAAAGAGGTACGACAGCGAGCCTTTTGCGGATTTCCTTCTGTCTGTATTTTCTAACGGGTGTATAGATCAAAACTTCGCAAACGGCTACCCAGAAGAACCCCTCCGATCATGCCACTACCATAGCTACCTACTCCCTCGCTTCGCCCTCCGATGTTAGCAATGCAATTGATGCTGCCCTAGCCGCAAAGCCAGCTTGGGAATCATTACCATTTGCCGAACGAGCCGCTATATTCTTGAAGGCGGCCGATCTTGTGTCAACCAAGTATCGATACGACATCATGGCCGCCACCATGGTGGGCCAGGGCAAGAACGCGTGGCAAGCTGAGATTGACTCCGCCGCCGAGCTTTGCGATTTCCTGCGTTTTAACGTCCAGTATGCCGAGGAGATGTACGCCCAGCAACCCGCCCACAACGCTCCCGGCGTATGGAACCGGGTCGAATACCGGCCCTTGGAAGGCTTTGTTTACGCAGTTAGCCCGTTTAACTTCACTGCCATTGCAGCTAACCTCCCCGGTGCCCCAGCACTTTTGGGTAACGTGGTTGTCTGGAAGCCGTCGGATTCCGCCATTGCCTCTAACTGGCTGCTCTACAACATCTTGCTAGAGGCGGGTCTGCCGAAGAACGTGATCCAGTTCGTTCCGGGCAACCCCGAGGAGGTGACGAAGACAGTCCTCGCCCACAAGCAGTTCGCTGCACTTCACTATACCGGAAGCACAGCCGTCTTCCGCAAGCTGTATGGACAGATCGGCCAAGGCACCGCGGAGGGGCGATACCAAAGCTACCCGCGCATTGTCGGCGAGACGGGTGGCAAGAACTTCCACTTGATTCATCCATCTGCGGACATTGACAACGCCGTCGTGCAAACCGTGCGTGGCGCATTCGAGTACCAAGGTCAGAAGTGCAGCGCCACAAGCCGCCTCTATGTCCCGAAGTCGGTCTGGCCTGAATTCAAGGAGAAGCTCATCAAGGAGACGAGCGCCCTGAAGGTCGGCGCCCCATGGGACCCGCAGAACTTCATCGGCCCCGTCATCCACGAGCCAAGCTTCAAGAAGCTATCCGGGGTCATCAATGCTGCTAAGAACGACTCGGAGCTGGAGCTCCTCGTGGGCGGCAAGTACGACGGGTCAAAGGGATACTTCATCCACCCCACCATCTACCAGACGACGAACCCGGCGCACAAGCTGCTTAGCACCGAGCTCTTCGGGCCCATCCTGACGACATACGTCTACGACGACACGGCGGGCGAGCAGGCATTCCTGGACACGTGCAAGCTCATCGACAGCACCACCGAGTACGGACTGACGGGCGCCGTGTTCGTCAACGACCGGGAGGCTGCTTATGCCGCACAGGGAGCGCTGCGCAACGCGGCGGGCAACTTCTACATCAACTGCAAGAGCACGGGCGCCGTGGTCGGGCAGCAGCCGTTCGGAGGCGCGCGCGCCAGCGGCACCAACGACAAGGCCGGCAGCATGAACCTGCTCGGCCGCTTCGTGAGCGTGCGCAGCATCAAGGAGGAGTTCACGCCCACGCCCAAGGTCGAGTATCCCAGTAACGAGGTATAGGGGCCGCTTCAGAAGTGGATGGGAATCTCGGTGCGAGCTGTTGCTTGAATTTTTGGGCGGGGTGTGAGATATGATCTGGCGTTTATGAGTCTTATAAGGGAATATAATAGCATACGGCATTTTCTGCTATTGGGAGGCACCTTATTGTTGTTACGACATGGCTGTGTGAATAATGATTTACATACTGCAAAAATCGAGATCTGGCCCAAAGGGCAGGAAAGGGTTTAGAGAATCTAAGACTTCGCGCTCTCGTGGCTTTTCGGCTATGTGTTATGTTATAAGCTAAGAGTTGGGCGCTGATACCAGCGACTATGAGCTTTACCCCGTTCATGATTCCCCATGGGGATACCCTGCTGCAAGCAGCCTTGACTGGGTAAGGTTACCTAGGTAGTGCTTGGTTGAATTTTACCTGGGGTGTCGCGTAGGCAGTATAGGAATTGAATAGTCTAAGCAGGAACTATTGTCGACCTGGACTTGAGATTCGTTTCTTATAGGTGTCGTTACCTATATCAAATACTCTAAGTTACGCCCGCGGCTGATGGGGTCGTATCTTAGAATATAGTCTGGTGTGTCGTCCGTGTTTGCTCGCTTGTTTGTTCTTCTCTTTCTAACTTACTATAGGAAAAGCAATTGAGATAGAGGCCTTTTGTAATAAAATACCTGATATTAAAGGTTCTGCACAGCTTATGTGCCTTCAACACGCTGCTGCTTCTAGAGGTTTACACAGCCTTCCCGAAAAAGGATCACTACCTACCTAGGTATATTAAGGGTCTAGACTAGCGCTCGCCCTTGTGCTGCCATAATAAATGAGGTTTAGTTCGCAGGCCCCTTAAAGTAGTTAGCTGCTCGATCCTTTCCTGCATAAGTTCAGTAGCATCGATGTTGGTACGATAGGTAACATTAACTAGATCTATCTGCATGCATCTGCATTTGCGATATGTAAGCTATATATGTGAATTGATAAGTAGTTTCTAAGCCAATGGCGGCATTGATTCATCATCTACCTAATCACTTTTGCTTTGTGGCTAAGACAAACGGCAGACATTTACCGTCTGCTTAGTGTTCTTATGCGTACATTAATCGATCATCGGGGCGCGCCCGAACCGGATCGCCGGAAATTTTTGGCTCTACCGAATAGGGAGCACAAATGCCCCCGGCTCCGAAGCAAGGTCTATCTAAGACCCTTGGCAAGTGGCACCTATATGGCTCGCTGCATGGTCTACACTACCTACTATAAGCAACTGCCGAGCACGGGATGTGACGACAGAAGCGGCCGAAGGACGCGAGCCCCTGCTCTCAAAGGATGGACGTGCGGTATACGCAGTATTAGATCCGCTACTAACCTTGTCGACACCACCCTAAAGTTAACGCTCTCTCCGACAGCCAGTCTGTGGAGCCACCACTCTGTTTCGATATTTTGTTTGTGCTTTCTGGATAGGTATCTTGAGGGAGCTGGCTGCACCTACATGACTGAGAGAGGTGAATCCTAGACAAAAGGCGGGGTAGTGAGCATAAAGAAAGACCTGAGGAAAAAACAACCATGGCAGACGAAATCAAGCCCTTCACCATCGCCATCCCGGACGCCGGGCTCGAGGACCTCAAAGAGCGCCTCCGACGCGCGCGCTTCCCGGATGAGCTGGAGGGCGTGGGCAACGACATGGGCGCGCCGCTGAAGGACGTCAAGCGGCTCGCGACGTACTGGGCCGAGAAGTACGACTGGCGCAAGGCCGAGGCGGCGCTCAACGAGCTGCCGCACTTCACGACGCAGCTGCAAGCGGACGGCTTCGAGCCGCTCAACGTGCACTTCGTGCACGTGCGCAGCAGCCGGGCGGACGCGATTCCCTTGCTCTTCTCGCACGGCTGGCCGGGGTCGTTCCTCGAAGCGACCAAGATCCTCAAGCCACTGACGGAGCCCTCGGACGCGGCGCAGCCGGCCTTCCACGTCGTCGCGCCCTCGCTGCCGGGCTACGGGTTCTCGGAGGCGTCCAAGAAGCGCGGGTTCAGCGCGGACCAGCACGGCGAGGTCTTCCACAAGCTCATGCTGCGCCTCGGCTACGACGAGTACGCGACGCAGGGCGGCGACTGGGGCTTCCTGATCACGCGGGCCATGGGCATCAAGTACGCGCCCAAACACATCAAGGCGCAGCATCTGAACCTGGACCGGTTCCCTCAACCCACGTTGATGAAAGCCCCGCTCGCGTTCTTCCGCACCATGATCTCGGCGCTGATTACGGGCTTTTCGGAGAGGGAGAAGAAGGGCTTCAAGCGCTCCAAGTGGTTCAAGGACGAGGGCTCGGGGTATTTCAGCGGTATGTTTATATCTTCATTTCTGTATCCGAAAGTATAGAAGGGAGGAGCTGTTAGTGCAATCCTGTCGTATAAGGCAGAGCATTGGTTTAGGATAGTAAGCGGGACGCCATGACTAACCACGAGGATAATCACAGTCCAGAGCACGCGTCCTCAGACGATCGGATACGGCCTAGAGGACTCGCCCGTCGCGCTGCTCGCGTGGATTTACGAGAAGCTGGTCGACTGGACCGACGCGTACCCGTGGACCGACGACGAGGTGTGCACGTGGATCAGCATCTACTGGTTCTCGACGGCGGGGCCGCGCGCCTCTGTCCAACTGTACTACGAGGTCGTGCACGCGAACAACCCGCAGGTCCAGCGAAACGATGTCGTGGCCACCAGCCCCGATGATTTGTTAGCCTGGCAAGATGTCAAGGTCGGGTTGGCTCACTTTCCTCAAGACGTCCTATCGCTGCCCGGATACTGGGGCCACGGAATGGGAAACGTGGTTTACGAGAAGTATCATGAAAAAGGCGGACACTTTGCGGCGTGGGAGGAGCCCGATGCGATTGTGGCAGATCTGAGGGAGATGTTTGGAGAGAAGGGTGGTGCTAAGGGCGCGGTGAAGGTTAAGGCTAGGTTGTGAAGGGGGTAGTTATTGAGTCGGCGAGGAACGGGCTTCAAAGCGTTGAGAAATACTATAATAGTCGTTTTCAAAAAGGAAATACTAAGTCTCAAAAGTTGATCGTAATCTGGAAATATCGACGGGGCCGGTTGCTTGTTAGGCGTGAGTCACCTTGTATGATGGTACGATGAAGGGGGCCGTGTGTGTGTTTAGGTTCGGCAATCTAAATAAGCATGCGTGCTGTTTTTGGCGTAGATTTCTATTTTCCTGGAGCCCTCTATGCTAGATACGGTAAATAGAAAAGACCAAGACGGATGGGAAGGTAATTGGATATTTCTAGAATGAGCGGGTGATAAGTAGATAGGTCGTTAGTCTAACAATAGGATCAATTCTATGGCACGTCCATATATATATAAAAAAAAGAAGAGGTAGTAGAGAGAGAGAGAGTATCACCATCACGGAGGTTCGAACTCCGGCCCCCAGAATATTTCATGTCTATGAAAATCTGGTATCCTAAACCACTAGACGATGATGGTTGCTGCCTTGTTGTAGTACTTGCTTGCTATTATGCCTTAGGTGGTTGCTAAAAGGTATGCTCGGGGTGTATCGGGAAGCCGCAGTGCTACTGCCCGGCCTTGCCCCTATAACTGACTCACTAGGAGGTAAGTAAGTACTTAGGTAGATATTTAGCAACGAGAATCTGTACTCTATTACCAAATACTCGCACGTACTCTGTACCTCCTGAGGCGATATAGGGGTAGCACGTTGAATGACCGTCTGAGCCACCGGCTCACGTGTATACTCATCTACCACCTGCTTCTTTACTATACTCTACTCTCAACTGTCGGCCCGGGGGCGCATTTACTTGCTAGACCTAAGACATGCCATACTAGTGTGCTACCTAGGAGGCAACGTTGTTTGGTTTTTGACGAAGTAATTTTATAGCGCGATTTGATATTACGAATCGCCACCATGCTTTACCAGAGTTTTGAGAATTCCAATACCGCTGTTCTCGTACGGAACTCAATTTTCGCCTTCGTTCTAGATTAAACTTTGGTTCGCAGTCTTGATAAGCCCCGGCTACGCAGTCATTCGATATGCTTTGAAGTGTGCCGGGCTTACCGAATGCGCTGCATCAGATTGAGGTGACGGTTGTTACGCAGTGTGACGAAGATGAATCACTGTAATTTACTTGGCCTGAGGCACTTGCCACTAAAGGTAGAAGTATATGTCAAAATGTATATCTGACTACACATCTGTAAGGTGGCGGTATGGGTAGTGTAGCTGCGCATGAAAATTGATATATGGTATTGGCTTAAACAGCCCCCCAGCGAAATGGGGACATAAGTGGTAGTGAAAATGCCATACTATCTCTAGGTGAGTGGGTGGTAGATCGTAGTTGATTAACTTAGCACTGGCCGAGTTTCATACTCAGTATGCTTGTACACGGCTTCTAGTCACCTCACCTTTTACACCTTGCGCTGCGGCGCACACACTACGTATATCGAATGTGATTTGGCCATTAGTTTCATTTGTTCTCAAAGTGAGGGTCTCCCAAGTACAGTCATACATGGCTAAATCATACCATCTTCATGATGTCTCGCTTTGAATGGTTGCGAGGAACGGATGCGATCTGATATATACACCTTTAACTTATATGGAGGTAGCTAGCTCAAATATCTAGCTACTCACGGTTTCCTCCATCTTAGCTTCAGACAACTTCTCTTGTTTGTCGGATTTATTGCTTTTACGTACGAACTACGAATCATGACGTTTTCTCAGGTATTTAAGCAATTTAGGCTGCGCCAAGAGGAGGATTCGGCAGTCTACCATCTTCTCGGAAATGAATCGAATGATAAGGAGAAAGCAGAAGATGGGGAAACAGCTACTTTCGACGTTGAACTGGGCGTATCGCCTGTTGATACAAATAACCCCAAGAAGCAAATATTTACATGGAGATGGCTTCGAGTGCTTAGTATTTTCCTTCCAAGCTTCCTTCATATAGGGGCTGCTCAAGGGCAATCAAAGAACCGGCGCCCAACAGCCTGGCTTGGTCAGTACATACCCCAAGCATCACTAGCCCTTAACTCACTCAACTGACAACTGAAAGATGGCCTTCGTGGCGTCACGGCATTGTTCGTGGTTCTTCACCACATGTCCCTGATCTGGTTTTCCTGGGACATCCACAATGGCTGGATCGGCTGGAACGACCACCTCATCCAGCTTCCCATAATCCGCCTGGTTATCTCAGGGCGCCCCAATGTGATGATATTCTTCGTCATTTCAGGTTATGCCTTGAGTTACAAGCCGTTGAGTCTCGTTCGGAAGGGCGAGTATCTCAAAACGTACCAAGTTTTGGCATCCTCCATTTTCCGCCGTCATCCAAGGCTGTTCATCCCAGCAATCCTCATATGCCTCCCGGCTCCGGTGATTACCCACTTCGGAGGCCTTAACGGAGAGGCCATGCCCGGCGCTGCCATAGGAACGAAGAATCCACCTCGGTTTGACACTATCTGGGGCCAATTCGGGAACTATATAACGACCCTCCTTTCCCTCTCAGATATCTACAGCCCTGGTGACATAAACTGGGCCTACAGTGACTCGTTGTGGACTCTGCCGATCGAATTCAAGGGCTCGTTGATCATATTTACCATGCTGATCGCGCTATCACGATGCACAACACGAGCACGTGTTGTGATCACATTGTGCGTCGCATTCTATTCGTTTTGGTATTTCCATTGGGCAGAGTTACTATTTATCGGCGGAATGCTTGCCGTCGAATTGAGCCTCCGCTCTCAGCGATCAGCTAGTGTGACGGAGGAACCAGGGCTCGACGACGCCGAAGACGATACCGAGGTCAAGCGAAGCATATCGCCCTGGGCTGCACCTTTTATGAGCAGAGCTTTCCGTCGATCCTGCGGCGTTTCTGCGTTTCTGGTTACGTTGTTACTCCTTAGCATGCCGGAGCAGGGTCGAGGTGCTGCTGATAGCTACGGCTTTAAGATGCTATCTTGGCTGATACCTGTCCGCTTCCATGCCGCGGGGTTCGCCGACTACTTCTGGCGACCGTTGGCTGCTATAGTCCTCGTGATCGTCATTGACAGGGCGCGCTTCTTGCAAGGAATCTTCAAGACTAGGTTGGCACAGTACCTTGGTCGTGTATCTTTTGCGCTTTACCTAGTCCATATGCTTATCCTACATAGTCTAGGCTTTTGGCTAGGTAAATATTTCCTGCAAATCACGGGGTCGAACTCATACTGGCAGTACGGGACGGGTGTTAGTCTGGCTGCTGCTGTTGTCGGGTGTGTTATCATCTGGGCCGCTGATTTGGGCTCGCGGTTTGTGGATACTAATGCAGTAAGGTTCACAGCGTGGGCTTACAGGAGACTACTATGCAAGATATGAGACTAGAAGTCAGGTTGTGAGGGACGGATGTAGTTGTCTCCCGATGTTGTATCTCTAATTTATTCGTTATGTCGGTGTCAGGGATCAGTGTTGGCACTCATGAGAGTATCTTTATTGGTATAGTGGCATGCGGCTGTATTAGTTCTAAGAGTGAGATGCGTGGGATGATACAGCGAGTATGCAGGGTTTGGAATCTTGAGTATTTAGATGGGCCGGAGTGAGTGTTGCAAGCATAGTGTGTGAGAATGAGTGGGTAGCTTTGCTTGCCCTGATAGTCCTTCAACCCGGCGCCGTTCTTCTCATCTTCGAAACTATTTATAACGACCAGTCTCGTGACTCCACAGCTCGTTACCAGCATATTGGTACTCAATGCCCTTGAAATACGCTTCCAAAGTAGTAGACGGGTACTTATGCAGAGTTTCGGCAACTAACAAATGATGGTTCGTTTCCCATTCCCTACACATAGTCCATAAGATACGCTTCGCGGATTCTGGCCCCACTTTCGCGAGGGCTTTGACAATAGGCACGGCGGAGAGGATCTGGCCTCCTGTATGTCCGCGTTCCTGAACACGGAGCTCTTTCTCGTAGCTGTAGATGTCATTGAAGCAAAGGAGATTCTTGGCAAAATTAGATACGACCGGGCGGACGAGTTCTTGCTCCTCTTCCGTTAGTATAATGCCCATTCCGAATGTCATGATAGCACAGACGAGGCTAAACAAGAATTAGGACACTTTTACTGATAATATGCCGAGAATTAACTTGAATCACCTACGCTGTGCCGATGTCCTTCTCACGGAATTGAAAGTATAGTGACAAGTCATCTAATCCGAGGCGGGTCTTGTCGACTTGAGCACGCATGAAGAGGAAGCAAGGCGCCTCCACGGAAAAGGCTAACTCCTTATTGCTACACCCCAAATATTAGACGGCCCTAGATTGGCAAGAAGTTTAGGGTGTGGATTCTTAACTCACTGCGCACGCATGTCCTCCCATAGGTCCCACATCATCCACTCGGCTGGGATCGTGGTGTCTGGACGTTGGATGCCGCGTGCAATGCGGATGAGTTTCTCGTTATATTCCTCGGCAATCTCAATAGGCATGTGGTCAATCTCATCTGTGGTATTGTAAGCTAGCCAACTTCATCGGTGAAGGTGATGTCAATCGAGCTTACCATCCGTGAGAAAGAGGAGAGTGATGATTCTACAAGCAAATCCTATCCTATCGTTTGATGTAAGTGGATAGTTGAGACATGCGAACCGCGAATAGTCTGCCGCAATGAATTTCTTGCGACTTTTCTCGTCGGGAAACTTCCAGTGCTTCAAGAAGTAGTCATTGATCTCATCGGCTATTTTTGGGTATTGGGGGTGACACAGGGGTTTGAAGATGGAGGGTGGGAGGTCTGCGGATGGTGTCCAGGCTTCAACGAGAGATCCCATGGTGTTTTCTTTTGTCGTAATTGTCATGATACTGAATCAAAGATGCTGGCTTGGTTACAAGATTTAAGGGGTGACTACATGTGGCTGTGGTGTGATAGCTTGCTCAATTGCCTTCTTATATGTATTAAAGGAGAACACACTTGTTTATCACGACTTTTCTATTTATAACGAAGATCAAGCCGATCACATGTCGAACTGTGGTCGCATTCGATTTTGATGCGAGTAAGCCCGAACGTGACAACGTACACCAACAGGCCAATTTGGTGCTTACGCTCGCTGATTTACCGCATTTGGCAGATGTGCAGCTGGAAATCACCTGCCTGGATTCTGCGAGGATGAGTTCGTGTGGTTGTTAAGTTCGGTAAATGTCATGGCGCCTCTCATATATCGCCGTTTCCCTCAGGGGCCCAAACAGCGTCAATGCATGCATACAATCACCATTTTTAACATTGCATCTTTTGATTGATTCTAACAAACAATTCAACGTTTAAGATGCCGACTAACGTTCCATACGAGGGCGATTTCGCCGGCCTTACTATGATGATATGTACTTTGGTAGGTTGCTCTTTGTCGACCACGTCATATCGACTGCTTAGATCACATCGCTAAGACACGCAGCTCGTCGGATTGTTGGCCGTTCAGGTGACTTATAATCTCTACTTACATCCGCTCGCGAAGTTCCCGGGGCCCTTTTGGGC